GCCCCCTCGGGCACCCTGTCTGGCCTGTACCTCCCCTCGTTCTCGACGAACTTGGTGAGTGGTGCAGACCTACAGGATGCGGGGGTTCACCAGTTCACTCCTGCGAGTCAGCGGGTGACCCACTGCACGGACGCACGCACAGGCCGGCACCTGGCCACGTTCTCGCGTCGGCCGGGGTCGAGCCTCTACACCCTGACCACTGAGTCTCCTCCTGTCCCCGCGTCCGGTTAGGTAGCAGCGTTAGGTCGGGTGTTTGCTGCTGCGTCCAGGTCTGGTCCTGAGTCTGCCCCCTGTACTTGTCGCCTCCTGTCTCACGAGACTCTCCTGTGGCACCACCGTCTTGGCCACCCCTCCTTGCCCCGTCTTCGGAGCATGGCTTCCCGTGTCCTTGTCTCTGGTCTTCCCCAGTCTCTCCCTCCTCTCCCCTCAGGGCCAGGACCTTCCTGTGTCCCCTGTGTCGAGGGTCGCCTCCGGGCTACTCCTCACTCCTCCCACTTCCCCCCGACAGAGGCTCCCCTGCAGACGCTTCACATGGATGTGTGGGGCCCAGCCCCCGTCCGTGGGCAGGGTTACGAGCGCTACTTCCTGTTGGTAGTTGACGACTACTCGCGTTACACCACAGTCCTCCCCTTGCGCAGCAAGGGTGAGGTCACTGAGGTGCTGATCCACTGGATCCGCGAGGCTCGTCTCCAGCTCAGGAAGAGCTTCGGCTCGGACTTTCCTGTTCTGCGTCTGCACTCGGACAGAGGCGGAGAGTTCTCCTCTGGCCTTCTGCGTGCCTACTGTCGTGCGCGAGGCATCCGCCAGTCCTTCACGCTTCCGGACTCACCACAGCAAAATGGGATTGCTGAGCGCCGCATTGGCATGGTCATGGATGTCGCTCGTACGTCCATGATGCATGCGGCTGCCCCCCATTTTCTGTGGCCGTTTGCGGTGAGGTACGCGGCGCATCAGCTCAACCTTCACCCCCGGGTCTCTCGGCCTGCGATGTCCCCAGCCTTGCTGTGGACAGGGAAGGTTGGCGATGCGTCTGTGTTCCGTGTCTGGGGATCTCGGGCGTTTGTCCGCGACTTGTCTGCGGACAAGCTGTCCCCTCGTGCTGCTCCCTGTGTCTTCCTTGGCTTCCCCACTGACGCCCCAGGGTGGCAGTTTTACCACCCCTCCTCTCGTTGTGTTCTGTCCTCCCAGGACGTCACGTTCGACGAGTCAGTCCCCTTCTACCGTCTCTTCCCCTACCGCACTCCTTCCCTCCCCCCTCCCCCGGACTTCCTTGTACCGGTTCCCCCCCCGGTAGACCCCCTCCCCCCTCAGGTTCCTGCCCCCTCAGGTGTGTCCCAGGTAGACGCCGTTGACCCGGTCGAGGTTACAGGTGACTCTGGTGCTGCTGCGGGTGCTGAGCCTGGAGGTGCTGACTCTGGGGGTGCTGTGCGCGGGGGTGCTGAGCCTGGGGGTGCTACTGCTGGGGGTACTGGGCCTGCGGGTGCTACTGCGGAGGGTGCGAAGCCTGGGGGTGCTGAGCCGGGGGGTGCTGTGCCTGGAGGTGATGGGTCTGGGGGTGCTGGGTCGGGAGCTGCTGAGCCTGGGGGTGCTGCGTCTGGAGCTGCTGAGCCTGGGGTTTCTCCTGCTGCTGCGTCTCGCCGGGAGCCCCTCTCTCCACAGGAGCTGCGCGAGTGGTACGCTCGCCGCTGGAGGCGTGCTGCTGAGTCTGGAGGTGCTGCTGGAGCTGGAGCTGGAGCTTCTTCGACCGTCGAGGGTGCGGGTGCTGCCGGTCCCGGAGCTACTGGACCTGCGGGTCCTCCTGGAGCTGGAGCTGCTGAGGGCGTTGGTGCTGAGCCTACTGCTGTTGGTCCTGCCGCTGGAGGTGTGGGTGGCGCTGGTGCTGTAGCTGAGGGTGCTGGTGCTGTCCCTGCTGCGTCTGGAGCTGCTGAGCCTGGGGTTTCTCCTGCTGCTGCGTCTCGCCGGGAGCCCCTCTCTCCACAGGAGCTGCGCGAGTGGTACGCTCGCCGCTGGAGGCGTGCTGCTGAGTCTGGAGGTGCTGCTGGAGCTGGAGCTGGAGCTTCTTCGACCGTCGAGGGTGCGGGTGCTGCCGGTCCCGGAGCTGCTGGACCTGCGGGTCCTCCTGGAGCTGGAGCTGCTGAGGGCGTTCGTGCTGAGCCTACTGCTGTTGGTCCTGCCGCTGGAGGTGTGGGTGGCGCTGGTGCTGTTGCTGAGGGCGCTGGTGCTGTCCCTGCTGAGTCTGGAGCTGCCGCGCGGCCTCGGCCGTACTTCGTTCCGCTCCTACAGCAGGTTCTTGGTCTTTCTCCTTCGGTAGAGTGTCCACAGCCTGTCCAGTCGCAGTCACTGTTGGAGCCTTCCTCTCCTCTGCCTGCTCCCTCTCCTTACACTGGTCCTACTGGAGGTCTTACTGAGCGTCGTGAGCCTGCGTCTCGTCCCGCGTCGCCTGTTCGTGCTGCTCGCGCTAGTGGTCGCGGTTCGCGTCAGCGTCCTCCTCCTGTCCCTGGAACGCACCGGATGTCTCTGCGTCCGTCCACTGCTCCTCTGCGTGCCCCTTTGCCTTCTCCTCCTGAGTCCTCTCTTCCTGCGCTTGCCGACCCTGAGTCGGACTCTCTTCGCGCTGCCAGTCCTACTGTCACGCGTCTGCTTGCTACTGTCATCACTGACCCCTCTTTTGAGTCCACTGCTGCGTCTGCTCTAGTCGCTGAGCTCGTTGACTTTGCTGCTCGCTGTCGTCTCGACTACGCTGCTGGTCTTGTTGCTGAGTCTGCGTCTGTCTGTCCTCCGTCCGTCGGGGGTGAGTGTGCTCTTGGCACGGACGTCCTAGAGGACAGACAGAAGGAGTTATAGTGTCTGGCGGCTGCTTCACCTCATCTCGCGTCTGTACTGCTTGCCCCTGAGGGAGACCCGGATGCACTAGACATCCCGACTCCGCGTTCTTACGCGGAGGCCGTAGAGGGTCCCTACTCCTCTCAGTGGCAGGCAGCTATGGATGCAGAGATGGCTTCCTGGAAGTCCACAGGCACCTACGTTGACGCAGTTCCCCCTCCTGGGGCGAACATCGTCAGTGGCATGTGGATCTTCCGGGTGAAGCGGCCGCCGGGCTCTCCACCTGTCTTCAAGGCGCGGTACGTTGCTCGTGGCTTCAGTCAGCGGCAGGGAGTTGACTACTTTCAGACCTTCTCTCCCACCCCGAAGATGACCACTCTTCGGGTTCTGCTGCACATAGCCGCTCAGCGCGACTACGAGCTTCACTCTCTCGACTTCAGCACTGCGTTCCTGCAGGGTAGCCTGCACGAGGAGATCTGGCTGCGCCGTCCACCTGGCTTCACTGGGACTTTCCCTCCTGGCACCCAGTGGAGCCTCCGACGGCCAGTCTACGGTCTCCGCCAGGCACCGCGTGAGTGGCACGACACACTGAGGACTACGCTTGCGGCTCTTGGGTTTGCTCCTTCTACTGCTGACCCGTCGCTGTTTCTGCGCACCGACACTTCACTGCCACCGTTCTACATCCTCGTGTACGTCGACGACTTGGTCTTTGCCACAGCGGACACTGCTGGACTCGCCTACGTGAAGTCCGAACTGCTGAAGAGACACACGTGCACAGACCTGGGTGAACTGCGCAGCTACCTTGGCTTGCAGATCACCCGGGACAGAGCACGCCGCACCATTACCTTGACTCAGTCACACATGGTGCAACAGGTCCTTCAGCGCTTCGGCTTCACGTACTCCTCGCCTCAGGCCACTCCTCTGCCTACTCGCCACTCACTCTCAGCTCTGCCTTCGGATGAGTCCGTAGAGCCGAGAGGCCCGTATGCAGAGCTTGTTGGTTGCCTCATGTACCTGATGACCTGCACACGACCTGACCTTGCATATCCTCTGAGCATTCTTGCACGCTATGTTGCTCCTGGGAGACACAGACCAGAGCACATGGCTGCAGCGAAGAGGGTATTGCGCTACCTGTGCAGTACGTCGGGCATGGGGCTTGTGCTTGGAGGGCGGAGTCCAGTGGTCCTTACCGGCCACGCGGACGCTTCTTGGGCTGACGACCAGGCTACGCAGCGGTCGTCACAGGGTTACACCTTCAGCCTTGGTTCCGGCTCTGTCTCGTGGCGGTCTACTCGCTCGTCTTCGGTTCTCGGCTCCAATTGTGAGGCTGAGATCTACGCCGGGGCCATGGCTGCACAGGAGCTTCGCTGGCTCACCTACCTGCTGACTGACCTTGGAGAGCCGCCTCGTTCTCCTCCAGTGCTGTACGTAGACAACAAGGCCATGCTGGCCTTGTGTCGAGAGCAGCGCTTGGAGCACAGAACGAAGCACATTGCTCTCCGCTACTTCCTTGCTCGTGAGCTGCAGCAGCGTGGTCAGTTGCGACTTGCGTACGTGGCCTCTGAGGCCAACACTGCTGATGTGTTCACCAAGGCACTCGCGCCTTGTGATCATCAGCGCTTTTGCACCCAGCTGGGTCTTGTGTCTGTCTTGCCTCACTTGCTCTCCTCTTGACTTTACTTGTACTGTGACATATATATATACCTGCTCTTGCTTGTCTAGTTTTGTATATATGTCTGTACTCCTGCATGTGAACTGGCCTCTGGCCCTGCTCTTGTGCTCGGACTGTGTGGTGACTTTGTGATCCACCCTGAGCTTGCTTTGCTTTGCTTGACTGGTCTTGTGACCCCTTGTTCTCCCCCACTTTGCCTATGGGGGTGTGTCAAACATTATATATGTTATACTTGTGTAGGCTACAGTGGGTTAGCCTATAGGGGGTACACAATTCTAGGGTTTACTACTTGTACTCTTTTCACTTCTAGTTGATCCATTCCTGTTCGCTGATTCTGACACAAACGTGGCGTCTTGGGAGGACAGAACCCAGCGCGAGGTGGGGTGGTAAACAGAAAATGGGGAGCAGCCGCATGGATCATGGACGTACGAGCGATGTCCATGACCATGCCAATGCGGCGCTCAGCAATCCCATTTTGCTGTGGAGAGGCCGGAAGCGTGAACGTCTAGCGGATGCCCCGTGCACGACGGAAGGCCCGCAAAAGGTCAGAGGAAAACTCTCCACCTCTGTCAGTGTGCAGAAGCAGAACAGGAAAGTCCGAGCCGAAACTCTCCATGAGCTGGAGACGAGCAGCGCGGATCCAGTCGATCAACACCCCGGTGACCTCACCCTTGGTGCGCAAGGGGAAGACTGCGGTGTATCGCGAGTCGTCAACCACCAAGAGGAAGTAACGCTCGTGACCCTGTCCACGGATGCGGGCTGGGCCCCACACGTCCTTTTGAAGAGTTTGCAGCGGAGCCTCTGTCGGCGGAAACTCGGAGGAGTGAGGAGCGGCGCGCTGCCGCCCCTCGACGCAGGGAACGCAGGTAGGGGCAGGCCCCGGAGGAAGGGGAGGGAGGGACCGGGGAAGACCAGAGACAAGGTAACGGGAGGCCATGCCTCGGAGACGAGGCAGGGAGGGGTGACCAAGGCGGTGGTGCCAGAGGAGGGTCTGGTGGGACAGGAGGTGACACGAGCAGGGGGCAGACTCAGGACCAGACTTGGACACTGCAGCAAACACCTGACCCGACGCAGCTACCTGACCAGACGCAGTAACCGGAGGAGACTCGGTAGTCAGTGTGTACAGGCTCGACCCCGGCTAACGGGTGAACGTGGCCAAGTGTCGGCCCATCCGAGCACACGTACAGTGGGTCACCCGCTGACTCGCAGGAGTGAACTGGTCAACTCCCCCATCCTGCAGGTCAGCACCACTCACCAAGTTCGTAGAGAACGAGGGGAGGTAAAGATCTGATAGGGAGCCAGACGGGGCCGCTGGACACGGTAGTACAGTGGAGAAGTGGGCAAGGAAAGGACCCCTAGAGGGGTCTGCTAGGGAGACCGCAACCGGCCGACTAAGCGGCGTGAGGGTGGTGTGGTCTCGAAAGAAGGAGCGAAAAGCACCCGAGTCAAGGGTGAAGGTGTGCAAAGCCTGACCAGACGTGGTACTTGAGAGAGCAGACTAGCCAGTACCTGGAGCAACAGACTCACTAGGACCTGGAGTAGCAGACTCACGAGCACCTAGAGCAGCAGCTGGATTGTCCGGGTCAGGCGGAAGACACAGGTAACAGTCACCCTCCTCACTAGTAGAGAGAACATACATCGCAGCAAGAATAGCATCATAGTCAAGATCAAAGATAGCTACATCTGACTTGAGAAAATCACCCCAGCGAGGGATCTCAGAGGCGTCAGGGAACACGAGACGCCAGGCGTCAGTCAGGAGGCCAAAGCAGCGCTGGGTGGTGTGCGGCCCGCCGCATGGCTCCCCAATGCGGTCACCAGTACGCAGGACGTAGGCACAGGGACCAGCACCCCTAGACCGCTGACGCGCATCATACCACTCACGAAGCTGCTGGGGCGGCGGGGTCTCACGAGAGCGCTGCTGCTGCAAACGCTGGCCACCACCGAAGCCTCCCCTCTGCACAGAGCCACCCCGACCAGCGCCAGCGCCACCGCCACCACCGCCGCCTCCTCCACTCCCACCGCCACCGCTGCCGCCGCCTCCGCCGCCGCCACCAGAGCCCCCACCCCTGCCACCACTCCCACCACCACCCCCACCCCCTCTGCCGCCCCCACCGTCACCACCACCGCCCCCGCCCACTTCCCCAGCACCCTTGCCCCCATTGCCTTTGCCGTTGCGGCGCCTCCTGCTAAGGGCAGACGCCGCGCCGACGGACTCGCTGCCAACGAGGTCGACAGCAGCAGCAGAGGCAACAGAGGGCAAGAGGGGGATGGGGGAACACCCCTCAAAGAAAGGGGCACGACGGGGGAACACCCCTAATGACGGCGACAACAGGGCGGCAGGGCCGCGAATTGCCGTGGAGGGGCCGCGAAGGGGCCGCGAAGAGCCGCGAAGGGGCCGCGGAGGGGCCGTGAAGTGGCCTCGAAGGGCCGCGAGGGGCCGCGGAGGGGCCGTGAAGGGGCCCCGAAGGGCCGCAAAGGGCCACGGAGGGGCCGCGAAGGGGCCGCAAAGGGCCGCGAAGGGGCCGCGAGGGGCCGCGAAGGGGCCACGAAGGGCTGTGAGAGGGGCCGCGAAGGGCCGAGAAGGGTCCGCGAAGGGGCCTTAAGGGGCGCGACGGGCCGCTAAGGGCAGGGGATGCGATGGGAGGGTAGGTGTACGGGGATGGGGGAACACCCCTCAAAGAAAGGGGCACGATGGGGGAACACCCCTAAAAAGGCCCCCGTGGGCCCTCCCGAATCGCCCCACGACCCACCCGTTTTTGCCCCGCACATCACCTGCTTTGCCCCGCGTGTTGCCCACCAGACCGGTAGCACGCAGCAGATGCACGCGTGTAGCTGCACGCACGGCCTTAGCGGCGCGCACGTATGCCGCGACCGCACGCACGCGCAGCAACAGCCGCGCGCACGTGCAGCCCGTTAGCCATGCCCTTCCCTATCCATCGCCCACTGCCCTACCCGCCGCCCCACCTGAAACCGCCGCCCCACACCTGAAACCCGTTGCCCCACCCCTGAAACCGACACCTTGTTGGTGCAACCCTACGGTTTGAACTCGGCTTGTTGTCTGTGTGCGTGCATGTGTGTGTGTATAGAATGGTATGAGGGCATGGGATAGTATATATTTCATGCTTATTATTGTGTATGAATGTTGAGTCATGATGTCGAGTGTGTGTGTCGAGTCAATAGCGAGTTATCGCTAGACGCGTGTTACGCGGTCGTTTGTGTCTCGCACGCGGTTTCTATTTTGTCGTGCGCGGTTTCTATTTTGTCCTGTGTCAAACGTTCGGCGTGTCGCAGGTGTGTGTAGAAGACCCATCAAGAACTCAAGGATGAGTTTGTGATGAAGAGCCCGAGCCTTGGTGTCAAGCCTCAAGTGATTTCGAAGCTCGCCAAAAGGGTGCACCTCAAGATATTGAAGATAGTTACATTACTTTGTGTAGTGTAACATTTCACTTGGTGTAGGCCCTAGTGAAGGGTAGTTTCGAGACCCTTCGTGATTTGGGACAGTGTGGCACTGTTCCACATCACTGTACCTCGGCTCTTGGGGTTTGTAGGAGCTGGGAGTCATTCCCAACTCGTAACTCTTCCTAACTCTTCCTATCTTGTGTTCTAAGACTATGTTGGTGCCATAGTGCCGTTCGTTCAAACCGACGCTGTGTCGTCAATACTTGGTCAAATCGTGAGATCTAAATTGTCTATTGTAGGCGACGTTCAGACGCTCTAGATCCAAGTTGAATCAGGTCATTTGATGTTGTGACCAGAACGCTATGAACGTTTGAAGCCGCTGTGCAGAAATCCGACTATGCACTCTATCTTTCGTTTTAGGCACATTGGAGCCTACTGTGACTATAACAAGTGGTATCAGAGCCCCTTGGAGCAGTTTCGACAATGGCTGGACCTGAGAAAAGGGGTGGCAGAGGTGCTGGTGGCAGAGGAGAAGCCCAAGCTCAAGGCCAACCCCGTGATTCAGCCATGGCGCCTGTGCAACCAAGTGTTGGCCCATCTAGGGATGAGCCTAGAGTGTTTGGCCTTGACAAGTTCAATGGTGACAACTTTGCTGAGTGGTCCTTCAGAATGGAGAACATATTTGACCACTATGACCTGCTGGAGGTAACGGAAGGAACGGAGAAGCGTCCCGAGAACGATCCGGAGAAGAGCCCGTGGGTGCGGAAGAGCGCACAAGGCTACCTCCTACTTGGGCAAGCGTTGGGGAGCAGCCAAATCCGTCACATCAAGCCTTTCCAGCGTGAACCAGAGAAGGGACCAAAGGCATGGGCTGCTCTCAAGGGTGTACACGCTCCTGCAACAGCGGCGGTAGCTGTGGTGTTGGAACGGCAAATGGCGACACTACGTATTGAAGAGGATGAAGCGGTTGAAGAAGGGGTGCAGAAATTCTTCGACTTGTTGACGCGGCTTGAGGGAGCTGATTTGAACTATAGTGAGCTCCAAAAGAAGACCAAGTTGCTGGCCCTACTCCCTGAGTCATGGTCCTCGCTCATCATCAACCTTAATCGCGACTTGCCCCGCCTCTCGCTTGAAGAGGTGAAGCGAGCTATCCTTCAAGAGGATTTCCGCCGCCGTGAGTTGGCGAGTGCGGATGGCGCTGGGGCAGCGTGCATCGGCCGTAGATATGGTCGAGGAAGAGGTAGAGGACGAGGGGGAGGAAGGTTTGGTGGCAGCAACTTCGGCGGAGGCCGCGGGAGTGGCGGTTACGGCAGCGACGACAAGAGCTACGGACGCGGTCGCGGCCGATTCGACGGCGAGTGTCACTATTGCCACAAGAGCGGACACATGTGGCGCGACTGCTACAAACTCCCGGATGGTTGGACCTCTGCTCAAGGCCAAGAGGGTAGAGGAGCAAGAGGAGGGAGACGAAGAGGCCGCGGAGGCCGTGGCGGTCGCGGTGGCAGAGCTGCAAACATGAAGAGCGGAGACAACGACAAGGACCCGAGCAACGATCGGTACCCGGGTCTATTCTACTTCGTGTCGACGCAAGTACCGACTGGTCCAGAGAAGGATGAAGGCTTTGAGGAGCCAGCAGCTGTGGGGAAGGTGACTCTACACCCTCTGGACTATTGGGTGATCGATAGTGGCGCTACCTATGGCATGACACCTCGCCCGGACTTGCTCACCGAACTCGAACCGTCACCGGTGAAGCATGTCACATCAGCTTTGGGGCAGCGAGCGGAGGTGAAAGGCATGGGCAAGGCCATGTTTAAGGGTGCTGATGGGAAGATGGTGGGCCTCAAGAATGTGCTTTGGGTGCCCAGTCTTGCTGCGAACCTGATTTCCGTGCGGCGGTTGGCAAAGGCCGGCATGGACACGAACTCAAAGGGAGCCAAGACCTACACCGCAAGGCTTGGCGATCGGAATCTTTGGGACCTTCATGAGGACAGAGATGTCTACAACGAGATGTGGCAGATCCCTGTGGTCCCAACGCCTAAGGAGAGGCAAGTGGCAGCAAACGTCAGCACCAAAGGTGGAGCGGTTGGTAGCGGCGATTGCGCGGACGGTCGCGCTAAGGAGAAGGAGTCCAAGAAGTGCAATCTTGGAGGGACCAGCAAGCTTGGTGAACCTATGGAGAGAGGTGCAGCAGCCAAGGAGCAGCAAAAGGGTGAGGAGAACCCCGAGGCAGCAGCGCAGGAGGACTACGAAGAGAGTATGTGGGGCGCTATTGCGAGCGCGGCATTCTCCAATCCAACTTCGGCTACGGGGGAGTGTGATTGGCTCACCTTGCATCGGCGCATGGGGCATGTGGCCCTGCCCAACTTGCAGCAGCTAGTAAAGAATGAGATGGTTGCTGGCATACGTGTGAAGGGGGAGCCCGATGAGGTACTTAGCTGCCCGACGTGCATGCAAGCCAAGTTCACCCGTTTCCCATTCTCTAGTTCGGAGGCAACGGCTAAGGCACCACTTGATGAGGTGGTGATGGACGTGGTGGGCCCCCTGAAGCTTGGAGCTGCTGGAGCTGAGTACTTCCTCACTATTGTGGACGTCTACACCCGTATGACTTGGGTGTACGTGCTGGCCAAGAAGAGCGACGTGGCTGAAACGTTGAAGGCGGATTGGTTCCCGATGGTGGAGCGGCAACAAGACCGTCTAGTCAAGTCAATCCGCACCGATCGAGGGGGAGAGTTCCTGAGAAAGGAGTTTGGGTTGTGGCTGAAGAAGAATGGTATTCGGCACTCCCTCACCATGCCATACTCCCCTGCAATGAACGGCATCGCCGAGCGAGCGAA